GCAAGTGGGCACTGGTCGTTTATTTACTATTCACCGGTAACATAAACTGCATTTAAGCAGGTGCATATTCACGCTTAAAGGAGACAATTTTTTTAAGGGATGCACTCACCTAAATCAAGTAAGATACTAAGGCTCACTACAAGTGTGAACATTAAGGATTCTACCTTTTATTCTTTACAAATTCTCTCCTCTGCTCTCTCTTTCCATTTTAAATAGGCTTTCTGAGCTATCATGCAAATAAACGAAATACTGCTCCACTTAATTCCACCAGCACAGAGCTGGGAAGGGAAAGCAGGGGTTGGGGACGGGGCAAGGAGCTGTTCTTGGCTAGGAGAGCCTGCAGAGAGTGGGAAGAAGAAGCATCAGGCTCAGAATGGCCAGGCAGGGCACAATCAGGGTCCCAGAGAACAGACTAGAAGCCAGGCAGAGGCAGCCTGACAGGCCCGGGATAGTGAGCTGGCTGCTGGCCGAAGGACCTACATACTCTGGGTCCAGGCCTATAATGCAGGTAGGCTGATCTCAAATGTGACACCTGGAAGCTCTCTGGGTGGAGTGTAAGGACTCAGCCAGAGAGCTAGCTAACACCTAAGAAGCAACCACACCTCTAGGTACTGCGCGTTGAACCCGTAATAAAGCCACATAGGGTGCTAGGTGCTTTATGTGTTGTGGTCACCCTAAGAAGCTGGTCATGGGTGTCATCTTCCCCTTTCTTCTGGGTCTTGGTCAGATCCCTCTTCCTCATCTCCTCCAAAGCAAGCCTTGGCCTTGAAACTGTCTTTGGCCAATAAACAGCAGTCAAATGGATGTTTCCCTTCTGGATGGAAACACTGAAAGACTTGACATGATTTACCATCTTCCCTTTAGCTGCCCTTGACAACACGCACCAGGATGGAGCTTCCAGTAGGCCAGGCAACTCACAAGAGAAAATTCCTCTGCTGCTGTAGACTGCATGTTTGTGTTTAAAACAAAAGTCATACATTGAAACCTCATCCCCAGCGGGCTGGCGTTTGCATGTGGGGTCTCTAGGAGGTGATTAGGTCATGAAGCTGGCATCCTCATGAACAGGACACTAGCCTTATTAAAGAGTCTCCAGAGAGCTCCCTCCCCCTTTCTACCCTGAGGGGAACAGCAAAAAGATAGCCTTCTAAGAAACAGGAAGCACCCCTCACTAGCCCCCCTGCATCTGCACATGCTTTGATCTTGGACTTCCTCATCTCTACAACTGAGAAAACCATGTGCGGTGTTTATAAGCCACTCAATCTCCGGTATTCTGTTACAGCAGTCTGAACGGACTGAGAACCTGCCACCCCGCACAGATATGAGACGTGTGAGGTAAAATACTCTTTTGCAGTGTGGAGCCCCCAACGTTATGGGACTGTGCATCACTGCAAAAGACCCACAGACTGTCTCCCTGGATCATCCCAGCAAGCCTGTGATTCCTTTAAGGAGGAATGTGAAGGTACATCCTGTGACTCTGAGTCCTTTGCCTGAGATTACAGAATTAATAAGAGACAGTCTGTCTAACCAGAGCCCCACTCTTAACCACACTTTGACAAGAGCTAATTGAGTAAGCAGGAGGGAAAATAAGGCATCCCTAGCTCCGTAAGTGGCATCAGGAAACTTCTACACACACAACTGGCCTAAAACCAGGCAACTGAGCAGAGTAGCCTCTGCAACTCTCCAACTTTGTACCTGCATCCTGTGAGATAATAGTCAAATCATATTACATGGTGACCCAGCCCCAGGTAGGGCTCACAGAACAGGGCTGGGTCGGGGGTTAAAGGAATGGCCCCCTGCTCCTCTTGCTTTGCTAGACCATAATCCTTCACTTTTACGTTACACCTTAAGTAACAGAGGATCCTACAGAACGTAAGACTTCCACTGTTTACCAAACCTTCCAAACCAAGACTTCCACTGTTTACCTTCCAAAGCCATGGGCGTGATGAGGCAGAATAAGAAGGAAAAGATTCTAAGAACCAAGAGCACTACTCGTAGCTAATAAGAAGACGGTCTATATATGGCCAGCAATTTTACTTTTTCCTGAAATATCCAAGTGGAGTTCAAAGTGCCAAATTCATGGTACAAACCTTTGTAGCTTCTCATCATGACTTAAGAATGCAAGAATTCCCTCACATGCATTTATTTCTTGATGGGCATTCATCTTAAGTACTGACCAACAAATAACAGGAAACAGATTCAAAGATGGGCTGTAAGTATTCCTATCCTTGACCAATTCATGTCACTTTTCACTTGTGCGGCCCAGGGATCAGTCCTGTAGCCTTTAAACCAGAGAAGGAGAGATAAATTATCCCCACTTTTAGCTAAGTGGGTGGAAGTATATTCCTTCACTGTCACTTTACATCGTGTTATTGGCTTTCAGATTGAGCAATGCCTCCAAAGTCTGGACAGAGTCCACACACTGCCACATTTCATTCCAGGGAATTCCGTTATTGCGATGACTGAGTATGTGTGTCATCTGAAGCCATAACTTATTTATGCCCTTAATACTAGATTGGCTTTTTAAAAAAATCAGCAAAAGAACATAGGCTGTTTTCATGCATATGATCTCCAGCACAGTTATTCCTTCATTTTTTAACCTAATAAAAAATGGTGGTCATCCATTTGATTAGACGGATCAAAGGGATTTTTTTAAACTACCCTATATACCCTATATTAGCTTTGAATTTCATATGACACTCATCACTCATCCTAATTTCTGTGGTGCCACATATGTTCAGCATGTTGTCTATAATAGACATCACATTTTCATGCTTTGCGTGGCAAAAATACACTAGGTTACATGTGTTATGGGTTTTTAAATTTCAAATATCTAAACAGAAATTCACATCAAACTACCTGAAACATAGTGTACCCCAACATCTGATATCTATTATAAATACCCCCAGCTTGAATTCAAATAAAATTTATATTTTTATGCTCATTTAATTTTTTCCTTGTACTTTCATAAATACTATTTTTCACTTAAAACATAGATGCTTCAAAGGAGCAAGAGAAAATCACAAAAAAATTTCACTGGAAGCAAAGCCCCCTTTCTAAGTGAAAGCAGATATAGAGAAACCATCAGAAACAGCATACCTGTCTCATGGAATGTATTTCAGAGAGCAAACAAAAATGCTGTGTTGATTTAAATAACAAATGAGGTGACTTTTTTTTTTCAATGCAATGCTGTCTTTTGGAGCATCTGAGTGAAAAAGAAAGCATAGGTTCTCACATGCTTTTAAACAAGCAGATTTTCCTTTCCTCAGGAGAGGCTGAGCATCCTACACTCATCCAGAAAGGTGAAGCTGCCATGGGCCACCCTAGTATGCCTTGAAACTCAGTGGAAACATAGTGAGGACCTGCTGAAGTAAAAAGCTGTGCAGTGTCCAAGACTCAAGGAGACCTAGAAAAGGATACACTACTGGTTTCCACTAAGAGAAGAAAGGCAATAGCAGCTAAAAGCACAAGATGCAAATGAACACACATTCAGGGAAATTGAAACGGAGATTATTCTCTCACTGCTCTAAGACTGGACCACTCGTCCTGGTACTAACATCAGATTCCAACAGCAAGAGCCAAATTCCATGAAGGTGCTCTCTGTCCCCCTTTAAACTAATAACCACCAGTCCCTATGCTATTTCTGGGGCTTGCATTTTTAAGTGGATTCTGCTGCCTTTCAAACAACTTGTCATCCTAAAAATCAGTTACTTCCATGGTCTTAAGGATCTGAGACATCCTTATGATACTAGGAAATGGTTCTCTACACCCAAGACAGCCTGTTCCCCAACTCGAAGCTTTAAAGTTGAGCTTTCAAGGGACTTAATCGGGCCCTCAGAGAAAAGTCACAGACCTTCCTTTCAGATTGTGGGAGAAATACTCCTTTGCACGCTTCCTCCTGGGAAGCTTGTTGTTGCTGCAAAACCCAGGGGAGGAGGAGAAGCGCTTGGGGGGCGGGGGCAGATGGGAGTGGGGTCGGTGCGGCGTAGGAGATGTGTGAGTTACCGAAGTTCTCCTTATCTTTCTGTCATATTGGAGATGTGACCCAAATACAAGGAAACCGCCACATTCCATTAACAGACTCAATTTGGATTATGCAGCTCCGCGGGAAGAAATAGCATCCTCTCCCGAGCCAGTTGTACTGCACTCTTGAGATAATTCTCTTAGTTTCATTTTAACATCTGGTTTAAGGAGATTTTGACGGGTCAGAGTGGAAACTGTGGATCCCTTCAACGTCTCTTTAGAGGGACTTCTCCCTTCCAGAATGGCGAGCCCCAAGGGCTCAGCTCCGGTGCCTGGAACGCTTCCCGCGAAGCGCGCACTCTGGGGAGCCGAGGTCCCGGCTCGCCGGCTCCCCGCCTCCCCCTCGCCGAGTGACGGTTCCCGGGGAGCAGGCCGGTCCGCTCGCTCTTTCGCCTCTCTCCTCGCAACGCGCACAGCCCTCCCTAGTTGGGCTCAAGTAGAGGAGCGCCAACTGCCCATCCCAGAGGACAGGCTGCAGAAAACTCTCCCCGCTCGTGCGCGGACCCAGGCCCGGTAGCCGGCGGCGGCAGCCTCGCGGATTCGCTAATGGGTCGTTTCTGGACGAAGTAACACAGCCCCAAAGACCGTCTAGACCCTCTAGAGCCCACCACCGTGCGACGCCGCGATCCTCGGAGCCCCGCTGTGGCAGTTCCCCTTCTCGCTCACCCCGCAGAGGCGCCCCAAGAACGCGGTGCCAATGAACCCTGAGAGAAGCCCGTGGGGGAGGTCGAGGCGCGCGGGGGGCCAGGCAGTGCCGGGAAAGGCACCTCCCCTCCCCTCTCCTCCCCGCAGCCCGGTCCTTCCCGTAAAGAAAGTGCAGGAACAGAGGCCCCGGGTGGGAGGGAGGACGCGGGCCGCCCTCGTCCCCGAGTCGGGCCACCTGCCGGGTCCCCCGCGCCCGGCCCCGCCGCCCCGCGCGCGCTCCGGCCACCTCCCGGGCAGGTGCCGGGCCGAGGCCCCGGGGAGCGCGCGGCTCTTACGTGCTCCAGCTTGTCTTTCCTCCGGAGCCAGACGCTGGCGCTGTAGTCCTGCTGCTTGACGCTGCTGTAGAAGTTCGCGCCCACTCGAGTCAGGCTCGGCGAGGGCTCCTTGGGGCGGCTTTTGAGCCTCATCTGCTCGAAGCCCTCGTGGGGGGAGGCCGAGAGCCACTCGTGCTGCCGGATCTCCATCCTGACATGACCAGGCGACGGCCGGCGCGCAGCGGGCTGGAGGGCGCGCGGGAGGCCGGGCCGGGGCTGGAGGAGGAGCGAGCGGGTGCGGGGGGCGCGGGGAGCCGAGCGCGCGGCCGGGCGGGAGCAGCGCGGCGGGCGGAGGGAGGGCGAGGTGAGGGGGGTGGGGGAGGTGGGAGAAAGGGGCGGGGGCGAGAGGGACGCAGGGAGGGAGGCAAAGAGGGAGGAGAGCCGGCTCTGGGGAGGCCCGCGTGCCCGGGGCGCGCCGCGATGACCGCGACGCCCCCGCCAGCTGCGGTCCGAGCGGGCGCCCCGCACGCCGGCTTCTTGCGGCAGCGGCTGGGACTGGGCCGGCCCGGGGCGGCGGTGGCGGCGGCGGCGGCGGCGCGGGTGGGGTGCGGGTGGGAGGGGCCGCGGCCCGCAGCCAGCCCGAGCCCGCAGGTTGGTGCAGTGAGGAGCCGCACCGCCCGCCACGGGGCCGAGGGCTGCAAGCCCGCCGCCGCCCCTCCCGCCGCGCCGGCCCCTCCTCGCGGGGCGGCTGCACCTCTCCGGCTAGCGTCTGTACTGGAAAGCGAGCAGCCGCTGGAGGGGGAGCGCGGTCTCCGCGCCTCCTCCCTCCCGCTGGCCCGGCGCGCGGCTGGATCCCCGGGGAGACTCTCTACACCACCTCTGCCCTTCCCCCACTCGCCCCCAGCTGGCCCGGCTCAGCGGACCCCGCCTGGCCCCGGCTTCATGGCCCCTTGTTCTGAAAGTTCTGTAACTTCCCATCTCGGGAGCCCATTTGTCCCACCGCGGGGGCGCAGAGCATAGGGCGCTTGGCAACCCCCCACCCGAAAATGGCCACAAGGACAAGTGTTTTCTGGAACCGTGCACACTACTTTCATCTGAGGGCGTAGTGCTGCCAATCCTCCCGAGGGCAGCGGCTGGGCGGACTGGTTTGCTGGACCCGCTGCTCCCCGGCCCTGGGTGCATTTGGAACCCGGCTGCCAGCGGCGCCCCTTCACCGGACCCAGGGCCTCTCGGCAAAAGCCCTGCCTCTACTGTGCGTTCGCGAGGTGCGTGTGGCCCGGGAGCTCTGCAGTTGTTTCTCTACGCTGTCCCTCGACCCCAAGGCCAGGTTTTACTACCCGGAGGGTTTTTGCTGCTTTCCCTCCCGGGCCCAGTCTTAAAACAGCCCGGCGTGATAATTTTCTGGAAATAGGGCGGCATGTTAATAGTTAAATCTTAAATCTCTTTATCTTTTGCTGTCTTTGCATTCAGCATCTCAGAACGTTTTTTGGTTTTACCGAAAAGCTCGATAACAATTTGTGTCAAGAATTTCTCAGGTCCATTTAAAAGCTTGAGAAGTGTGTGAAAGCGGCAGAAATATCTGGGAGATTTTAAAGGGGGGCACAGAGGGTAAACTGACCTCTCTTCAGCTCTCGGCTGACCTGTTCCCCAAACGTCCAGTTTGGATGATAGTTTCAAAGAAAGTCCGGGTTGGAATGCGATGGTTTTGTGAGGGCAATGATTGTCTCATATCTTCAGAGTCTATTTTTTTTTCAGAGTTTCTATTTAAATAAATGGTATTGCAATAATGGAAATTGAAATAAAATCCTATAGCAGTCAATTTGGGGACCAAGTAACTAAAAAGTAACACACACACACACAAAGTTTCTGGTTATTCTAGATTAGTTTTTTTAGGGGCTGAGTCATATGGGTACTATGTACTCTCGATAGATGGGTTTTCTCTAAATCTCGCACTTACTCTGCAAGATGAAAGTTATTAAGCCCATTTTACAGGTGAGGGAACTGAGACTCAAACAGAAGTGACACATCAAAGCAAAAATTGGAACCAAATTAAAAGGCTTCCAACACTGTACCTTCCATTGTCTTGTTTCTCATTTTTTGCTATGACAATTTAAACTTCACTGTTTTTGCTTCTTTTTAAAGTATAAACACACGATTGACATGACTACCAACACTTACATATCTTTTATAATACTGGTGCTAGAAAAACTTGACTGCCCTTCTGCCAAGGGTATGTCTGATTTTTGCTCTATCAGAGCATCCTGAAGGTCATGTGATATATGCAAACCTTGGCAAGTGACAGATCTCCAATTCAGAGTAATAATGAAGCGTTCCACTGTAGTAGAATTTAAACAGATAGTTTCCACGTCAAGTCAGGTTTTCATGCGAATAGATTTTTTTAACTATACTTTTATAGGGAAAACACTATAGGAGCTGAAACCATTGTTTTAAAGGCATGTACTGGTAGCATACATGTTACAGGCCAACTACTAAATTAAGTCTTATAATCAATTCATAGATGATGTTTGTTAGGATCCAAAATATCAAGCAAAGCCTACATTTTTACTGCTTCATACTTAACCTACTTAGCGTGTAGTGTCAGACATTAAAACAGACTCAATACGTTCAAATCAACCTGAATGAAATTATATTCACAATTTTATTTCAGCCTTAGATATTTGTTCAGGTTCATTGTTTATGACGGTAATACAGGACTTGTTCATTGACCTTCAAAAGAATATTTTATATGAAACAGCTCAGGTCAAACTGTTGTAGGGAGCACAAATAATATTTCTGAAGATGGTCAACTGCATTATGTGAATCTTGCCCCTCAAATATTATCAAAATGTGTAAGTATCATTGAATTTACAAATTAATTCCCATGGCACTTTTCCCTGTCCATGTTCATAGCCCTTACATGGTCTGAATGCAGCACAGGTGCTATACATTATCCATCCTCCTAGTTAGCTTCTTGTGGAACTGGGGCCATCCTTCACTGTGCTAACGCTTTACAACATATTTGTGTTTCTTTGTTTTTAAGCACACTGGACTTAACATTAAAAGACCCAGGTTTTAGTACCAGCTCCTTTAATCTCTAAATTGTGACTTTCTGGGTTTTCATTTGATATCAATAGCCTTCAGGTTCATCTAATAAATGGAGAATAATCATTGCTACCTCAAATGATTGCTACAGGGATGAGCTGATATAATACATGAGAAAACATTGTATGAACTATACAGGGCTATGTTATTATTCTTAGAACATTCAGGCACAGGAATGTTCTTTACGTTCTTCTAATGATAAATTATGTTCACTGGCAGTGTATCACTTAATCTTGATTGCTTGTAATTAATCATAGAAACTGCACTCAGCCATGAAATTGCATCTCATTAATGTTTATATTTATTCTAGAAATACTTTCCCTACATTGCTACTGGTATTTTACACAATACTTTCAAACTATATACAAATTTCAGGTAAGAGCACCTGGGTGGTTCAGACAGTTACGCATCTGCCTTCGGCTCAGGTAATGATCCCAGGGTCCTGGGATCGAGTCCCACGTGTCGGGCTCCCTGCTCAGCCGGGAGCCTGCTTCTCCCTCTGCCTGCCGTTCTACCTGCTTGTGTGCTTGCTCTCTCTCTCAAATAAATAAATAAAATCTTAAAAAAAATTCACGTAAAACATATACGAGCCATCAACATCTATTCATTTCAAACTGAAACTCAAAGGATGCCATTGACCAAGAATTGTTAACATTGTCTGAATAAGGCATTTTGCAGGGGTGTAAAACCTAAGGCCAGAGTAGGCTGAAAGCATCCAGAAGTCACAGGGAGTATTTTTTTAAGCCTTTCATAACAATAATAAGACCTTACATTTCCATGATATTTACATTTATGGCATGTTTTCATATCCTTCAGCACATTTACTTCATGCAAAAATTATCTGAAAGTAGTCTTGGTATTTGCTACCATCTCCATTTTTTGAAAGGAAGAGACTGAAGCTCATGGAGGTTGGGCTCAAGACCCGCCCAAATCTATGTGTCTAATAAGCCATAGAATCTGGTCTAGAAGCCATTGACCCTAAATAAAGGATTTTCTTTTCACCACGTCACATCAAAAAATCTCAAATGGATGCTTCTCAGTACTTACATGTTTTATTTTTCATGTGTTTACTTTGACTAAGTAGTATCAGGCTTTCTTAAAGGTTTAATTACTGAAGAATAAAACATTTCAATAATTAGACCTTCCTTGGCAGTGTGCTTTGGGTCCTCCCTAAATGACCCTCACTCTATGCAAGACCATATGAAAACACTGACCCCCAAAATTATTCTATTCTTTGCTGTCAAGAAGTAGATCCAGCAGCTTAAGACAGTGTTACTTTTTTATAACATTTTACTTTTACAGATGTTTGAGGTTCACTGCAAAATTGAGAGGAAAACACAAGAGACTCCCTGTGTAGCTCCTGCCCCCACACATGCATCGCTTCCCTCATTATTAACATCACACATCCGAGGCGTACACTTGTTATAATTGATGACCTACACAGACACATCAAAATCACCCAAATTCCATAGTTTCCATTAGGGTTCACTCTTGGTGGTGTACATTCTGTGGGTTTGGACAGATGTATAATGATATTTATGCATCATTATAGTATCATACGGAGTATTTCCACTGCCTGAAATACCCCCCATGCCCATTCATTCTCCTCTCACCCTATCCGCCTCCACATCCTTAGCCACCACTGATCTGTCTCCATAGTTCTGCCTTTCCAGAATGTTATGTAATGGAAATCATGTAGTATGTTGACTGTTCAGGTTGTATTCCTTTACTTAGTAATATACACTTAAGATTCCTTCCCGTCTTCTCTTGGCTTGATACCTCATTTCTTTTTAGTACTGGGTAATATTTCATTGGGTAGACCACAGTTCATTTATTTCTTCTCCTACTGAAGGGCATCTTGGCTGCTTCCAAGTTTAGGCAATTATGAATAATGTTGTTATAAACATCCATGTGCAGATTTTTGTGTGGACATAAGTTTTCAACCCCTTTGGGTAAATACCAAGGAGCACTAGACAGCGTTACTTTTTATAAGCACATATGTTAATTATAAGATTATTTCCATAGAAAATCTGAATAAAGCAAATCCCTTAGAACCAAATTAAAGTAGTCTTAGATTTAAAATGTTTCCTGAAAGGAGGTACAAACAT